TATTTTTTGATAAAATTTTAATTCACATTTTAATTCATAAATAAATAAATTTAATTTTAAAATAATTTTTTGTTTGTAACCACCAATTATAGTAGACTAAAAAAGATGTCTACTATTGAAGTAGACTTTAGTGTAACTATTGGCGCCAATAAGAAAAAATAGGCTCCAAAATTCATTTTTGTTTCCCGCTTAGTTAATTTTAATTTTAAATTATTTTTTTTGATAAACACCAATTAATGTAGACTGAAATAGACGTCTACATATAAGTAGACTTTACTGTAAGTCTACTATACCCTATATATTGGCGCCAATATGGAAAAAATGGGCTCCAAAATTAATTTTTACTTCCCGCTTACTTAATTTTAATTTTAAAATAATTTATTTTGGTAAACACAAATTAACGTAGACTGAAATAGACGTCTACATATAAGTAGACTTAACTGTAAGTCTACTATACCCTAAGTTGGTTAAATCCGGTTAGGTTAATTTGGTATAAGTGTGTAGACTTACGGGTAAGTCTACAACTCCGTTTTTTTTTTTTGCTTTATTGTTTGANTCTGATACCCTAAATATTTATTTGATAATCAAAAATGTATTAATTATTATATTAAATATCTAAATATAGAAAAAATAAACTTCTCAACATTAGTGTGTCAAAAAAACAAAAAAAAATTAAAATCAAATATCTAACCCTAATATATGAATCTAACCCTAAAAGACAAAGCATGTTATACCATTTTGTTGGGAAACCATAATACATTATCTTTCACATGGTTACCAATTCAATATAAATTCTATTAAACTTTTCACTTATATGAAATTTTAATTTATATATTTCATACTAATCTTTATATTGATGATTTATTTAAAAACTTCCCAAAAATTATTTTTATACATTTTTAAAATTAAATTATAAGATCAAATGACGATGTAGAATGTAGAATACGTCTACAAAGTAGACTTCTAAGAAGGTCTACAAATGTGTAGACTTCTCTCTATTATGTGTAGACTTGCAAAGGACAGAACCGTAAAATAACTGTCTGTTTTTTTGTTTGGTCACAAGGGTTAAGTAGTAACTTCATAACCCCTTTAGATTGGTTTTGCATTTGACTCAATAAAGGGTACACCTTTAGGGTTGAAATGAAATTTTAGGTTGGTTTTGGCAAATCCCCGTAAATAATCTATAAACTATTTCACGATGCGCACAGCGCAAAATACTAGCTAGTGCATTCTTATTTTAACTTCCAAATTAAATGAGAGAGAGAGAGAGAGAGAGAGAGAGAGAGAGATCACCAAACATTGATTTATTATCATCAACTACAACAATGCTGATGTTAGTTTCTTGAAACCAATCATTTGTGGAAAAACAAACACCACACACGCACACATAAATGACACATGTAGCACAAGGATATCAATCGATGTGAAATTATTCAGATTTAACAAAAAAACATTCAGTTTGGTGCATTGGTAAGCCGGGTTAACAATGTCCGTTGTAGCAGCGGCACTGAAATCTGCCAGAATCCCATTCACATTCGCCAACATATGTTATATCTTCATTGATTCGCTTGCAACTAGCATCACAAAGTGCATGGTCCAAAGGCCTGTATTCACTGCATACATACTCGTCTCCTTCGCCCGCATGTATACATTGACCATTCACTTTTGGTAATCCTATTTGAATCGTATGCAATTGTTAGTCTATTAGCAATAAAGACTTTCGTCAATAAATTTAGCATCGCAGAATATAAATCAAAGATGATAAGTAAAATATGATGTACCACTTGAAACAAACAAGAGAAACATCATGAGAGCTGAGAAGTAGAGAGTGTTGATGAATATCTTTGCCATTTTGCTTTGCTTTTTGTTATTCTTCAATCTGAGTTTGCTTTGTTGCAGACTATGATAAAGCTTGCCTGCTGCATGGAGTCAATATATACCGCAAATTCGTTGACTTTCTTCTTCCTTTTTTATGTGATTATGCTAATATAAAGAAGTTTTTTTATTACTTTTGCTAAACATGTTATTTAGTTTGATTAATTATATGTGAAAACATAAGATAACTTTCTTAGAATAGATTTAAAAATTTTTGTCACAAATATAGAACTTAAGAATAGAAATGATCAAAATAGACCTAAATGTGTTATAAAAATAATTGAATATACAATTATATCTTTTAGGTTAACTAATCATATTTTTTTTTGTTAGAGATGAGGAATGAAGTTTTAGAGATAGGATTTCAAATTTAAAAATAAGTATTTTTTAAAAAATAAATTCAAAATAAAAAATGTTATTTCGATCATTTTAGTTTTTGAGATCTATTTTTGTGATAGAAACTTAAAAATGTCTATCTAAGAGAACTGTCCAAAACATAATGTTATTGGATCATAAAATATGAATTGATGCCTAACATATGATCACAATGATAATATTTAATTAGACAAAAAAAATTATGTAGTGCCCCCTCAGGACCCGGCTTTGTGCCTGTGGACATGCGGCAATTACTCAGGGTCCAAACTCATTTCATTAAACAAACTATACGTAGTGCAGCCAAACCCGGGTTTCGGCATGTGCAGGTGGCACATTGCACATGGTCTCATTTTATAGAAAAATTTAAACGTTTTACATTCTTTATTGTATATATTATACTCATAACAAATAATTTTATTTTATAAATCTAGGACCTTTTTTTAACTCATGAGTTTTTTTTAACTCCTAGTTTACCATTGAGCCAGGTCTACTGCCCTGCTGTCAAAAACTAACTTTTTCAAACATATATTTTCCGAATTTGGATATTTGTAATTGAACCGAGATCAAAAACAAACCTAAACTTAAATTATATTCGATCTAGTTTATAAAAACAAAAAACATGTATAATTGTAAGAAAAATTTGAAGCATGAGTTTTGAAATCATAAGCCTCTTACGTTAATATCCGAAGAAGTATTGAAATTTAAAAAACTAATAAAATATGTAATTTCATATGTTTATTCTGATATATCTCAAAATACATGAATTTGAAATATTATTATAAAAACTCAAAATAAATTTGGTTATTTAGACAAAGATATAAAATTTACTCAGACGCCTCATATATTAAAGAGTATTTGCACTCTACACATAAGTTTTATGTCATAATTCACTTCATACCCTATTTCTTCTTTTATCTCTCCTCCCTATACATTATTATTTTCTCCAACAAAATATGGCAAATCCCTAATTTCCCATTTTGTTAAGGATTTCTAGCAAATTCACTCTATATTAAATCTCTTGTTCGAAAACGCGGTTGTGGAACCCGATTAACCGGCCTCATAACGCTTTGTCGATTTCATTCAGTTTGGCAAAAAAATGGTTTCAATAAAAAATGATTGTTTAGTGTTTGAATGTTTAAAATCAAATATTGAAGAATATATCAATGAATTTGATGTAAGACACCATGAAAACTCTTAGATGTCTTTTGATAATTCTATTGTTGATGGTGGAAAAAAAGAGTGCATAAACGCTTAAAATTGCACGGGGGAAAATGATGTCGTATTCACGATTATGCCTGAAACAAACGCAATATTAAAACACATGACGGACTCGAACCCGATAAGTTGTGAAATGTGTACTATATCTAGCCCATTATTAAGCTATTAAATATGTGTACATTTAACCAAAAACTTAAGAAAAACGTGAAAAAATAATTCCTCGATTAATTCACCGTTCAGTTTGATCTGAACTTGAACAGATATTCGAATGCCAAGATCATTTCAGATCCTTTTTGTGACTTCCACACAACACACGACAAAGCCCATTAAAACTTGAGTAGCCCTTTTGCTGACAACAACAAAGTTCCAAACAAACCAAAAAGTCCCAGGAAGAGCGAATAATTTAACGGTAACAGACAACTCGTCCACTCGTTCTCCTCCACAAGAGCGAGCCTTCATCTCCTTTTTCCAATGTCCAAAGAGACCCTTCTCTTTATTCTTAGGGTTTGGTGCTGTGGTTGATTTTTCAAGTTATGCGCAGAGCTCTAAGCTCAGACACAATCTTAAAACAAGTTTTGACTGAGATTGAGATCCTCGAAATCATCCAAGGCCCCTGCGAAAGCCACAAAAGACAATCAAACGTTTTCACCAATCAACGAAAATACATAGAATTGACGGCGTAAAATGCAAGTAAATATATCAGAATGATTTTTTTTTTTTTTTTAAATCGATTACTATGAAGAAGCTCGTCTAAGTCATCAGTGTGAGTGTCGTCGTTGGCCAGAACAATTGTGGTTCAAGCACAATTGTGGAAGAGAGAAATATCGCAAGAGGAGAAACTGCGGTGTTCAACTGATCATTTCGATAAGTCACGATGAACTTAATGATTCTATCCAACGGCTGACGATTTTTTTCTCTCCCCCCAGATTTTCTTTTAACATCTATCTAAACTATTTAGTGATATGAATTTAAGTACGTAAAAATAAAGTAAAGTAAAAATAAACAAGTGTATAGGATTGATAAACCTCATCGATTCCGGTTGCAGATATTTGCGAATGCGGAAGATTGCGGTTTTAAGCATTAGTAAGAGATTTAGATGGCTGATTCAACGGTCAAAAGATGTTGCGTTTGCGGGATACTTATGATTGATTTATTACAAAATACATCAGTGATTAAATAATAAGTTAACAATATTTATATTTTATATAATTATCAAAATATTAAAGTCATATTTTTGTAATAAATATAAAAATTTTATTGATAAAATTACTATTATTTTTTTTGGAGATTTGATAATTTAAATATTTTGGTATTTCAATTATCTTAATTTTAAATTTTAATTGAATATTTTATTTTTATATTTATATAGTTTTCTGGAAAAAAAAATTTCTCCTTCCGCAACTTATTGAAAACCATCATTCTGGAAAACACACAGACATAAACACATGAAGGATAGATGTAAACCAAAGGAGACCAATCGATGTGAAATTATTCACATTTAAATGTTTGATTTGGTGCATTCGTAAACCATTTTAAGTACAAGGTTCGTAGCAGTGGCAGTGAAGTGCATTATCTTCCGGTTTACAAATGCCAGTATGTCTTATATTCCTTAGCTTGCAACGACCATTACAAGTTCGTGCACTGAGAAGTCCCCTGCATATAAACGGAGGTTCTGGTTCACCCAATTCAGCAAGACATGGGCCTGGCTGGCCATTCACCTTTGGTAATCCTGTTTGAACCGTATGGACTTGTTAGTCGTTTAGCGATAATGATTTTCTTCGTTACGTACTATATAAAATAAAATATAAAATATAAAATATAAAATAAAAAATAAAAGATTAGGTGTAATGTACCACTAGAAATAAACAAGAGGAACATCATGAGAGCTGATAAGTGGAGAGTGTTGATGAATATCTTTGCCATTTTGCTTTTGTTGCATACTATGAGAAAGCTTGGAGTCAATATATAGGGAAAAAATAATTAACCTTTTCTTCTTCCTTTTTTTGTCTGTGATTATGTTAATATATAAGAAGTTTATTACTTTTTCATGAATATTTTATTTACATTCACTAGTTCTATGTGTAAGAATTATTCCGATTGGAGCTTTTAAAATATGTATTATATATACATAATACATATTTCAAGAGCATGATTAACTTAAAAGTTTTAGGGCGAAGTTCTAAGTGAAAATTAAAAAGTAATTTTTTTAACTTCTGTCTTAAACTTCACCCTAAAAACCTCGGATTAATCATGGTATAAGAGTTTCAATAGAAAGAATTTTCACTAGAGGTGGTCTAATATCTCCATTTTTGGATCCATAAAATATGAAATGATGCCAATAGACATTATAGACATTCGGATTATATGATTACAAAACTTCTATAGATGTAGATGAACTTATAAAACTATGTAGAAACAGAAACGAAACTATATATCTATCACAAATAACAGGTATCTCATCCATTGTATAATAAATCAGTATACGTTCCATTCATATTAATCCGAGTAGGATATATAATGTAGTATATTCAGAATGCCATATATCATACGATCTTACTGAAAATCAAAAGGGTGATGCATTACCAAACTGTATATACCCTAAAATACACACATAAATGATTTTAATATTTAATTTCTAACTATAAAGTTTTTATTGCTAGCAAAATGTCAACACACGACTTAATCAGATGACCGACCACATATGTATATGATAATATAATTCAGACAAATTTATTTATGCACTGACGTATAGTAAATTGTTTATTATATTTGGAAAATTGTCTAATATACTACATTAATTAATATCACTTTTCATGTTTAACTTAACCATTTTTAAATTCACTTTAAAAAGATAAAAAAATATTTATAAATAATAAGATTAACTAATCTAGACTTTGGTGTAGAATTGAGGGATGTAATAGAATTTTGGAAGGTGGAGTTTAAGATTCTAATAAATATATAAATAAATACTTAAAAAGTTTTTTAAAAATTTAGTAAAATAGTTTCACAAAGAATTTTTGAATTTAGAAAAAAATATATAAAAATTTCAAAAAATTATAAAAGTTCAGATTTGAAAACGTATAATAAGAAAACTATAAAAAACTATATTTATTTATTTATTTAGCTAATTATTTATTATATATAAATATATATAACAAGAGTACAATAGTTTTTTGCTTATTAATGAATAAGGTATTTAACAAAATATCATTTCAATGAAAATAAACATGAATAGTAATATCAACAATGTGGTAAAAATGAAAATTATCTCCGAATTGTTTTTAGAACTCATTTCTGAAACACTTTTAAAGAAACCACAGTACTTTTCTATTCAAAGATACAACATGAACATGTTGCATGCACGAAGTTGCAATAGAAGGTGGACTTGAGAGGTTCTAATATTGCAACTTGAGAGGTTATAATATTGCATGCCTACGTTTTTGCAATAGAAGGTGGACTTGAGAGGTTATAATATTGCAACTTGAGATTAGTCAAAATAAAATATTGCAATTTGAGAGGTTATAATATTGCATGCTTACGTTTTGCAATAGAAGGTGGACTTGAGAGGCTATAATATTGCAACTTGAGAGCTTATAATACTGCATGCTTACGTTTTTGCAATTTTAGTTTAAAAGAGATATTGCATGCCTAACCTATAACATAATTGAGAATATTAAATGCAATTATTTTGGTGTATGAATATGACGTTGTAGAGTCGCTGGTTTATAATCTTTGGTGGGCCCTGATATAATGCTTCTAAGTATATATAGTAATAAAAATTGGTTGTATATAAATATATAATAGGTTGGACTAATAATGAATACAACAACCTTGTTTTAAAATAAATTTAAAATTAGAACCAAAACTAATGTGTTATATTCTAACATGATTCATATTTATCTTTTATTTATTATACTTTTTAACAAAAAATCTATTATATTATTAATTAAATATTATTTATATGGCGTTCAACCTGTCTTATACTTTATAAATATTTATATTTTATGAATAAATTATAAAAAACTGTAATTGTAAATTATAATATATAATTCAATATACTATGTAATCAAATAATATTAATGTAAATTAAATTTAGTATTGTATTTTATCAATTAAAATATATTAAATTAAATTTTAATATTATTATTAAGATATTATTTAAAATATAAAATTATTTATTATTTTAAATATCTTATTTTAACATTTTGCATTAGTATATTGCAGTACGTTGTAAATTGTATGAATATATGTTATTATGTAGATTTAATGTTTTAGTTTATAATGTACAAAACAGTAAGTAAATAGATTAATTTATTTTATATATATTATTTACTGTAATAACTATTGATTTTAACCTTGATAAAATTAAGATTTAATATCATAAATCAAATATTTAACCGTAAAAGTTGATAAATATAGTCAGAGAAATAAAAAATATTAACGATCTAAAAATTATATTTAGTAATTTAAAAAATATAATTTTTTAAAAAATCTAATGTTTCATAGTTTTTGTAATTTTTTAAAAATTATATGTCTTACTTTTATAATTAAACTAAAATAAAGATTAATTAATAGAAATTAAATTAATTATATTTTTATATAGTTTGAAAACTTTATAATTTATAAAATGAAATTTTAAATACATAGATAAAGTTTTTGTAAAACAATTATGAACTTCAATAACATTTTTATTTAAATAAATTATAAAAAAAATTATTATTAGTTTATGTACTTGCCCGCTAGTATGGCGGTTTACCCTAGTATAAACATAAAGTAGATAGATTTATCAAAACCTGTTTATTAGTGAGAATTTAGTTTAATTAAAAGAAGATTATATTTACCTGTTTCTATAAAACTTAACTATAACAAGACTTGCTTGAATCCACATTTTCCTTTTGATTTGTAAAACTCTTTGTTTCTAAATACAAGGATCGATTTAGGGATTTAGGTTGGGAGAAGATGATTTGGAGGTTTAAGAACAAATACCTATTAGTATTTATTTAAGTTAACAAAATTGTAATTGGTTTAGTGGTTTGGGTTTACAACGTATATGTCTTTGGTCATGGTTTCAATTCCTTTCAGATACAATTTAAAAAAAAAAATTCAAACGACGCCGTTTAGACTTAACAGAGATGAGAGGCGGCGATTTATTCCATCTAATCAATCCGTTATCCGAGTTAACATCGTCTTAAATTTGGTTTAGTCAAATTAAGTTGAGGTTAAAGTGGTTATTCAAACTAAGTTGGTGTTTTAAATGGTCTAAAAGAACATTCATATTTTTTTCAACCAAATTTAAAAATTGGTGATTTAAATAATTATTTAGTGATATAAATTCAATACATAAAAATAAAGTAAATAAAAATATCAACTAAATAACACAAAACCTTAGAAGCTTTTGCAAATAAACAATCTAATAATAGTAAATTTTGAAATTGTAATTTAAATTACTGATTGAAAATGACTTTTAGATTCTATTAAAATTCATTATTTTGTAACAAGTGTATAGGGTTGATAAACCTCATCGTTTAACTTTTAAAATTTGTAACATCACAGGAAAGAAGCAGAATTTCGAGGGAAATTGAGCATTTTATTTTCAAATATTTGATATTTTGGCAGTTTTAATACTAAAGTATTATTCACATATAATTATTATCCAACTAATAGTTGATTGCACGACATTAGAAACAAAATAGTTAACAGTTAGCTGATTAACGAAAAGATAACGGTTTCCGTTATTTTTTTAAGGATTGACTATTCAAATCATATTTTGTGCGGTTAATGATTAGTTGAGGAATACATCTATGCATGTAATATTTGTGTATTTAATTTGTCGATCGAAAATACTTCTAAGGAAATTAAAGTATCAAACTCTTTTTTAAACCATAATTTAAATAATTTTCAATTCAGATACAATTAATATATGAGATTTTTTCTTTTTGAAAGAGATTTTGAGTTCTTATAATGACATGTACAATAATACAAATAATTATAATTATATTGTATTGTTGATGTATTTCATGATTGTAGAGATCCAATGTACAATATATGATTCTTTAAATTATATGAAATCATCCATATGTGATTTTATAAACATAAAATACATCAACAATACAATGCACCTATACTTATCCATATGTGATTGTACTATTGTACATGATGTCATTGTAAATGCTTAAAAATCTCTTTCAAAAAGTAAAAATCTCGTTTGTTAATTGTACCTGACTTATTTAATATTTTTTAAAGAGATTTTTGCTTTAAATTCCTCAAGTATTTTCAATTGGAAAATTAAATATTTAAGTATTATATGTATATATTTATTTCTCAATGCGCAAAATTATGATTTGAATAGTCAACCGTTAAAAAATTGACGGAAACCATCATCTTTCCGCTAACGGTTGACTATCTTGTTTCTAATTTTACGAGTCAACTATTAGTTGAAGAATAATTATGTGCGAGCAATACTTGAGTTTTAAAACCGCCGAATTGGGGAATAAAATGTCAATTTTCCCAAGAATTCAAACTATATATTAGTTTCATTTGAAAAAATAATTAAAGCAAAATAAGTGTTTAAGCTCAAATCTAGTAAAAGTATGAATAATCCTCCCACTATATAAGTGAGTAATAGATGATAACTCACCATTTAGTTGAAAAATTAGGATGGAAGATTTGGTGGGTTTCTTAACCAGTGTTGATGCTTTTTTAATCAATCAAAACTATATTTACAACGTAGGACCATACCGGTCAGCAACAAAAACTCAAAAGAAAATGAGATTGTGAATAAATTGAAATTATAAATGGCTAATCGGCTGGGGCACTAAGATATGTAAAATATATCATAAACATATATGCAATGACAGAAAGAAAGGAGCCATGAACAAATAAATAAAAAGTTTTAAAACAGAACAAATAAATGACAGCATATTAATTCATATTCAAATCTTACATTGATTAATCATCAGCAGTTACAACAATGCTGATGGGAATTTATTGAAACCCATCAATCTGGAAAACACACAGACATGCACACATGAATGATAAATGTAAACCAAAGGAGACCAATCGATGTGAAATTATTCACATTTTAATGTTTGATTTGGTGCATTCGTAAACCATTTTAACAAGGTTTGTAGCAGTGGCAGTGAACTCCATTATCTTCCGGTTTACACTCGCCAATATGATCTGAACCGAAGCGTGCCTTGCAACTAGCATCACAACGTGGTTCACTGAGTAATCCAGGGCATCTAATCCCTTCTAGTTCACCCACTTCATTCTGACATTGGCCATTCACCTTTGGTAATCCTGTTTGAACCGTATGCAGTTGTTAGTCGTTTAGCGATAATGATTTTCATTAATTACTTTAATATAAAATAAAAGATTAGGTGTAATGTACCACTAGAAACAAACAAGAGGAACATCATGAGAGCTGATAAGTGGAGAGTGTTGATGAATATCTTTGCCATTTTGCTTTGCTTTTTTGTTATGCTTCAATTGTTGCATACTATGAGAAAGCTTGAAGTCAATATATATGAAAAAAATAATTGACCTTTTCTTCTTCCTTTTAATTGTCTGTAATTATGTTAATATATAAGAAATTTATTACCTTTTCATGAATATTTTATGAATACATTGACTAGTTATTTTTGGATCCATAAAATATGAATTGATGCCAATAGACATTATAAAACCTTCGGATTATTAATTTTATTTAAAAATCTTCGGGATTAAAATCATATACTTTTAAATCAAAACATAACCTCTATAGATGTAGATGAACTTACAAAACTATGTAGAAACAGAAACGAAAACTATATGTTAAAAATGAACTTCACATTAACGAGTCTCTCATTTTTTTTTTGGGGGGGGGGGGGGCAAACAACGAGTCTCTCATCCATTGTATCACATATTAGTATACGTTCCATTCATATTAATATGCATTCAGATTAGGATAATATCGTATAGTATATTCAGAATGCCATATATCATTTGATCTTACTGAGAAATCAAAAGAATGATGCATTACCAAACTTTGTATATACCCTAAAACACACACATAAGTTATTTTAATATTTAATTTCCAACTGTATAAAGTTGTCACTGCTAGCAAAATGTCAACACACGACTTAATCAGATTATCGAACACATATGGATATGATTATATAATTCATACGAGTTTATTCATGCACTGCCGGCTAGTAAACTGTTAATTATATTTTCCATATAACTTTGTCAAGAAGTAACTTATTCAAACGTTTACTTTTTCAACACGTCTAATCCCTTTTCATGTTTTTTTCTCTTTTATCAACCAAGAGATGAAAATTTTGAAAGAAAAATAAATCATCTGAAGTCAGGCTTGAAAAACAACATCTGTAGCTTCTGAGACACATACACACAATAAAAGCCCATAACTTTGAGTGGCCCAAATCATTTTGCTCACTACAACAAAGCTCCAACACACTCTACTCGCAAGAAGTCTCAGCAATGGCGACAACTCGTTCTCTCGTTCCCCTCTCCTCCACAAGAGCGAGCCTTCATCTCCTTCTCCAATCTCCAAAGAGACCCTTCTCTTCATTTCTGTCGAGAAGCTCGTCTAAGTCGTCGGTGTAGGTTTCGTTGGCCATTATCTGGGAACCTCTCTCTTCCTCTCACTATGGTTCAAGCACATATGCGGAAGAGAGAAATATCGCAAGAGGAGAGAAAGGGCAGTGTTCGACTGATCATCTAATTCGTGTGTCAAGATACCAAATCTAAGCTGAGGAATTCAAAGCCCTTCCGCCTATTTACTGATGTATCATGTGCAGTGCAATAATACAACCCACAAAATAGATATATATTATCTAATATGCAAACTCTGTTTTGTTTTCATATAGAAGAGTTTTTGATGTTTCCAGGAAAAAAAAAATCCTCAAGGAAGCAAACACGGAGAAGAAACCATATTATGCTTTGTGTATACAGTGGGAATTTGCGCTCAGTTGAACAAGACGGAAAGACAATCAAACTCCAGATCGTAAGTGTTCTTGATTACATATTCATTTAAAATTTAGAAAAAGGCATATAACTCGTGCCAGTGACCTGTGTATACAGTGGGATACAGCAGGCCAATAACGTTTCAGGACTATCACCAGTAGCCTACTACAGAGGCTTTCATGGGATCATTATATGTGCTCTATCTCACTAATCAATAGTGTTTTTTTTTTATACATCCATTCTTTTTGGTTCTCCCTCATCATCTTTGGCTTTTCTTGGCAGGTCACCTACGACGTTACAGACCAAGAGAGCTGCACAGCGTCAAACAATGGCTGAATGAAATCGACCATGAAGAAGCTTTCATGGCCATGACAGCTGCAATCAAGTGAAACCCTTTAATCAGGCTGTTGCTCATCTTGATTTCATTTTGTTGATGTAGTGAGGTCAGAGTAAAAGTAAAGAAATAAATATGACACAAGTTTTCTCTTTTCGAATACACTAGAACAAGAAAGTCTTACACCAATCTTTTCTATTACAAAAATCTTTTAGGGTTAGACCAATCATAAGCTAAAACTCACCTAGAGCCTAGACTTTGTTTATCAGGATCACCCAATCTTCCAACACTCTGGAAGTACGTCAACAACTACGTCAGCAACTACGTCAGCAACTATCGCAGAACATTAACACCAAAAGCTTGATCACACAACACACAAAAGATCTTTCAACTTTTCTTTTTCCCAGAGACACCTTTCTTCATAGAGGCACGTTTTCACATTTGTCTCAAGAAGTCTCTTCGGATGATAACACTACATTATAATAATTTTGTTTGCATTGCATGTAAGACTTCTCAAATTGAAAACTTTCTTTTCCTTTCGTTTTATAGATTTTCTCTTTTTCTTTTTTCTTTTTGATGTATTTAGAAGTTTGAAACCCATAAACTCTATAGTGAAAAGACCATTTATGCAAAAAAAAAGCACTAGCCTTTCTAAATTCTCCACTCTTAAAGCTAAATCCAAACATATAACTGAAACATTATTAAGAGTATGTGCATTGGAGAGTATCATGAGGAGTCTGTCAAGTATAAAACACAAAACTTTTTTTTAAAAAATTATTCATATAAAAGTTTAAGAATCAATTTACAAATAAAAAATTAACACTAAAATGAGTTTGTAAATGATGGTTTTTTCTCTCTCAAAAATTTTGCATCACTGTGAAAAATTTCATTATTTTTATAAGATAACTCATAAAAGTTATTCGAACAAAAAAAAACTCATAAAAGTTAGGAGTAAAAGAAGTCATGCCTAAAGCTTCAAACTGAGAAGTTATACTGGATGTCTAAATGTAGGATAAGTTGCTTCACATCCCGATCCAAATGTAAGCAATTTTAGACTTCAAGACTGAGATGAGAAGCAATGTTTAAACCTCATGCAATCACTCATCGTTTTTACATTACGATCCTGCATAAAAGAAATTGATTGATTGTGATTCAATTTTTTTATTTGTTTAGGTTTACATCTGATGGTGGAAAAAATACTAAACATGTTTTTCATATGCTTAAATCCAATGATTTTAATTAATTTGATGTAATTAATCCAATGATTATAATTGATTTGATGTAATTAATCAATTAATTTGATTTTAATTAATTTGATGTAATAAATCAATTAATTTGATGTACTTAATTTTATTTTAATTAATCTGACTAGATCTCGACCCGCACAACCGTGCGGATATTTTAATACGATAATATTTGAAAATATATAATACTCATTCCTTTTCAAATTAGATGATGTTTTAAAAGATTTATTTATTTCAAAATATAAGATGTTTTGAAATTTTAAGATATAGTTTAAGGTTTTAAGGTTACTTTTAACTTTATTGAAAAATGTTTAACCAATAATTTACTTGTTTTTTAATAATTGGTTGAATGATTTTAAAATTATATCTGTAAAATACTGTTGTAAAAGAATGTAATTATTTTTTAATCTTTGTGCAATGATCCAAAACATCATATATTAAAAAACGGAGGGAGTAAAATTTATCAATAAATATATATAGTATTTATGTGGCCTATAATATTATTAATATAAATTTTATAAATTTTTTATTTTATAACAATTTTTAAAACCATTACTATGTAACATTACTAATTTATATATTTTTTATTTCTAATTTTGCAATATATGTAAAAAGTAAATTAAGTTTGGCCTACATAATACATAAACATAATTTTGGGATATTGTTAAAAGTATTTTACATAACTTTGATTTTTTGTTTTGTAAACAAAAATGAATTAGAATTTTAATTGTATTTTATGATAATTAAAATTTTAATCAAATATTTTTTAAAACTATATCTTGAAAAGATTCTAAAAGATTTTTTAAAAGATTTTGTTAGAATGTTCTTAAAACTATTTATTTGTATTTCAAATAAAAACTAAAGATATGAAAAGATATTATAATGATGTTATATAAACTTTTATACAATTTCTAAGAATGATCCAAACTAAAAAATCACACATGAAGTCAGTCATGACTTCTCTTTTAATATAATAGATGGTGGAAAAAATACTAAACATGTTTTTCATATGCTTCAATTTTTTTATTTGTTTAGATTTACATCAGATGGTGGAAAAAATACTAAACATGTTTTTCATATGCTAAACATAATCTCTTCCGCAAGGAATGAAAAAACTGTCATTGATGTAATGATTTTAATTAATTTGCATTAATCTGATTATGGTTTTTCACTTGCATATAAGACCGAGGCAGCTGATGGAATAAATCATGATATATTTTGGATTATTGACAATATTTAGTCCAATCAGATCTTGAAGTGATATTATTGACATATATTATACAAGATAGATGTATTCTTCAATTTGATATATCCAACTCTGGAGTTATTAAAATACCACTACATGTAAATATAACAAAGCTATATAATAAAATTCACTTTCAATTATTCTTCTGATATTACTTATTTTTTGCTTTTTACATAAAAAATATAAGATTTATAATAATATTTATGACAAAAATTCTGCGCATACGCACGGATATTCAGCTAGTTTAGTTTAAAAATTAGGATGGAAGATTCGGTGGGTTTCTTAACCAGTATTTAATCAATTCTCTTGCAATTAATGAGCATAACCTTTCTCTTGCAAGAAGCTCCAACCGCATTCAATACAAGATGAACTATATGAAAAAATTCTTCAACTTCAACATGTTTCTTTGCAACCGCCATGACAACCAACTAAAGTTTATGAGCAAATCAGTGAACATAATTTGCAGACCTATTTTCTTTCAAATCAGTATGTTAAACCATTAAATTTTCCTTTTATATTGCTAGTTCCATCATAACCTTGTTCTCTTAATTTTTTCATACTCAATTCATGTTTAGCAAATAAAACATCAATAGCATACTTCAGGTCAAATAAGATGTGTCTTTAACATGACTAATGCCAATAAATCTTTCTTTTACCAGCCTAAATTTATCA